GCAACATCCTTACTTCAATCATAAAAACTTTTGACGTAAATTAATAGTTTAACAATACAATGAATTTCATAACCCAAATATTTTTCAATTGTAAATTATTTATCATCCAAATTATTTTTTTTATAAAATATATCAAAAAATATAAAATAAAAATTCATTTCAAATTATAGGATTTCAGGTTATAACATATACATAAACCCTTATCTATAAAGTAGAAAAAATTCTCAAACATTTTTCAAAAGAGAAGAGTTAAGGTGTGTAAAGAATCTAAAATTTAGTAAAATTAATTTTAGGGTTATGAAAATTCAAAGAAAAGTATGTAAAAATTCCTATTGGACCTCTCAAAATTCTTGTTAAGATTTTCTTCTGAAAATTAATGAAAGTAATTAATCTTATGATTAAGTTTAGTAATTTTGAAAAGGTTGGGGACCATATTTGGTTAAAATGAAAGGTTGGACAACATCTAATGTTTATGGTAAAGATTGAGGATTAAATTTGATATTTACAGATAAAAAAAAAAAAAAAAAAAAAAAAAAAAGACTAGATTATATGCCGCTGAGAATTGTTTATGTATCCCCATCGAATGGTCATAAGCCCAAAGTCAAATAAAAATGGGGCAATAATTTTGGAGTATGAATTAAGCATGTAATGAAATGCCTTGGAAGACAAGACCCATAATCTTTGATTAAAACAGTTGAACATAATCACATATACATATTTCTCCAAATAAATAGTTTTCTATTTAAAAATTAGCTGGAGTTTTAAAATAAGCTAATTTTGATAGATTTTGGTCCTTTTTCTTTTTTAATTTCTAGATTAATTTTAAAAAATAGTTTCTAAAGTAGTGGTAATAGTTTTTCTTTAACAATTTATAATGATTTTTTCTAGGTTGTAGAATTTGTTTATTAACAATTATACAATTTAATAGTTTTTTATTTCATAAAAAAATTATAAATTTAAATCATATGATATAATTTTAAACTATTAATAAAGGACAACTCGTTTTTTATGACATAACATGCAAATAAGATAAATTAATAAATAATAATAAAAAAACTAAACTTTTATTTATTTATTTAAAACATTAAAAAATAAATTTTATATTATTTAATAATTAATTTTTTATTTTTTAAAAATTCATAATATTATTTATATTAATTAATTTAATAATATAATATAAATTACATTATTAATTTTAAATTCTTATTTAAAATTTTCATCATATTATTACTCTAAATTAATAGAAGAAAAAAAAAAAAAAGCTACCACAAAAGTTATTTTTCCCTCCCCTACTTACTTCATTGACTGCGGAGTGCCGTTTCCTTCAATAATTTCTCCGAAATAAATTTTTTATTTTTTTGGGTATATATCTGAGAAAAAGTCTAATCCTGCATAGTCAACACTCCCCTTTCCACAACTCAGTGCCTGTTTGGTGTGGATTGTGGGAAGAGCTTTTTGGCTCTAAAAGCACAAGCCACACCAAACGGGGTAGCTTCCTAAAGTTGCTCCAGCTTTTGAGAAGCTCAGCTTCTCACTTTTCCTTTGCAAAGCCGGAAGCTCCCAATTCTTTACTTCCGCGGGAGCTTCTCGCTTCTAATTTAATGAAATTGACATGGTCTTCCCATTTTATCCTCACACTTCCTTTTATTTACGAAAAAACTAGTATATAAAGGACCAATTTATAATCAAACC